ATTTGTAGTTTAATTCAGCTCCTAGTTTTTTGACTCTATATGACAACCAACTGTTTATTCAAATTCTAGTGAAAGTGTTTCTTCAAACTTCACAGATGGAAATTGTGATTTTNAAAAAAATGCAAAGCTATGATAATGAACTGAAGATTTGCTGGACCTCTAAATAATTTTGTTGACATAGTTTAGCTGTGTGTCAGAAACGCACGCAATGAAGCACAAGGCACTTACGAACTCTGAATTAAACTAAGATACAGGTTAGACAAACATCTCTCAATGGCCCAAATTATGAGTACAAAGCCACAGCAGTTTGTAAGAATCTCTGCAATGTAAGGCTATAACATTTCCTTAAAGTCTATGCATTGTACATATACTGTCTGTTTGTATATTAATAATAGTAGTAAAATAATCCTTGTATTTTACATTGCACTTTTCAGGATGTCTCAAAGTGCTTCACAGGATATAAAGTGTGACTGTATGTTGCAAACGAACGTGGCAGGAGGTTTACACATAGCAGTGTTACAAACAACCATGATTTGAATGACTAATTTAATTTGGGGGATTGTTAGCCAGGACATTGGAAGAAACTCCATTCTCTTTTCAATCAGCGCTGTGGCATAGAGTCCACCTTAATAGACAGGTGGAACCTCAAGTTTACATCTTATCTGAAGGATCACACCCACAACAACGTAGCACTCCATCAGAATGCCATCATTATATGAGTTCAAAGTCTTAAACCCACAACCATCTGACTCAGAGGCAAGAGTGCTACCAACTAAGACAATGCCATATGATGGCAAGTTTTTAAATTTGCTTTCTCTCTTGCCCCCTCGCTCTGCAGTTTTGCTCCTCCTCTCTTGTGCGGTTCCACGAGTGCTGAGTATTCTCTCTTGAGACGCTATTTAAACATTCTCTCTTTTTCCCTTCCCCCTAATCTCATCGTGACATTCACTCACATACTCGCAAACACACACACATCCACATGTACACACACTTTGCTGGAGAAGTCAATTGATAGTAACCAGAACTAATAGGTAGCCCTGGCTGTCCTTACAACTTTTTAGCCCAGGGTGCTGTGGCTAGTTGTCTTTTCTTAAGTCCGGTGTTCACAAGTGCCAAGCACTCCATATGTGTTCTCACTAATTCTAAATATAATGCGGATTAGGAAATTATTATTAGTTTAACCCTTTCACTCAGTTAAATAAAAGCCGTCTCAATAATGTGCTTTCAGTTTACCTACCATTGGAGGAGATGAAAGTTCCAGTTACTGTTTTTTTTTGCTGATGCTGAAAGTGATTATCTCACTGGCTCGTATACTCCCAGGAAACTCTGACGCTCAATATAACTTGACCCGTGACATTTTATAACTCAGTTCCCAAATTTATTTTTTGTCGGGAGCCAAACAAGGCAAAAATTATTATTGTTCAGGGCAGATAAGAGCTTCAGCTAATGTGGTGGCTGGAACAAGACTTGTGCATTGCTTAGTGATATTATCATATTGCCACCGTGGCTCAGCTCCCATTACTTTAATCAGAACTCTGCTCAGTTGGAACCTGTTCCAGAATGCCTGTGTTTGCAGCCACAGCAATGAGTCTGGAGAATCTACAGCAACATTAAAATGTTCAGGAGGAGCTCGGGTCATTTCAACAACCAAGAAGCAAAAACCTATAAAACTTTTGACATTATTATAATAATACATTTTTTTATATATATGTGTACATTTCATTTATATAGATTTTTACCTACCAAGTATACAGTCAATTTGCTTTACAGTATATTCCTTGAGACGTCTCAAAGACTTTATAAGGCACTATATCAAATGCAAGGATTATTATTATTAATTATTATTATTATTATTAATTAATAATAATAATCCCTCCAGCACGTGCAACACATTTCAACCAGCACAGAAGTTCAATTTCTCTGTGTAAGTTTCATTTGCGTACACAATCTATCGATAGCGTTTTTCTTCCTTGTACAGGTTTGTGTCAGTCCTGCGTCTCAGCCATCTGGCAGGAGGTGCGGGCTCCAAGCTGACAATGGGCTCTGGTTTGCTTCACTCTATGGCGAGGTACTTTACCCATGTAAAGTGAGACTGTTTGGGGGAAGAAGTACAAAATCTATGCATCTTTGGTGTTATTTAATTAATTGGAATTGTGCTCTGCAGTAGTTGACAGTGCCCATTGCATTGACTGTTTGTGGTACACTGCTTTGCGCAATTGGCTGCTGTGTTTCGCCCGCAAAATACACAGTCACTACACTCTACAGGATGTTCTGTGAAGAACTTTGAGACATCCTCCTGACGTGAAAGACGCTATACAAGTGTAATTTGTTGTTGTTGTTAATTGCAAAAATATTGCAGGTTATTTTATATTAAACAAAACCAAGCATATTCAGAACCTCCAACACACTGTGTCTGCACACTAAACTGAGATCTTATTATCTTCTTCCAGAGGTTCAGGTGGATATTAACGATTCCATTGCACAAATTTGAAAAGTTCTCCCCACATCCCTTGCCCACAATTCATCAAAAAAAAGTTGAATTGCCCATTAATTTTTTGCTGTGGTTTAATGCATGTTACTGGCACAGATTAGCTGCTGCGTTTTCTACACAAACCACAACACTTCAAAGTAAGTCATTGTATTAAAGTTCTTTGAAAAGTCGTTCAACATGATGAGGTGTTGTGTAAAATGAGTTGTTGTGCTCCAATACCATTATCACCACCAAAAGCACTTTATTCAGAGTCCAGAAATGTGCGCTTTCTGAACCGATTTGTAATTTAGTCACACAATCTTATTGCAGATGTGCAGAGCGACAACTCCTAGCAGGGCTCACTGTGCTTTAGGTCTAAATCCACTGACTGCCGTTGTGTCGGTAAGGTATGGTGGAAAAAGTCTGTAATTTAAAAAATAGGTCAGATACGATTAGAATGGAATCCAAAAAATAACCTGCCCTGTAATGATAGGCAAACCTAAAAGAGGCGCTGATATATTTTGTTTATTGGGAGAATACTCTCAAATAGCAAAAGAATTGTCTTGGCTCATTCTCTGACCAGGGCATAGAAAAGCTACTAAAGACTCCAGAGGATTAAATGAAGGATCGGGCTGTATCTTTGCTCTACAGGTCATGTGACAGTGTAAACAAGAAAGGCAAGAAGCCTTCAACTTTCTCTGCATCTAATCCTTTGTTTACATTGTACTAGAATCGACTTTAAAGTTGTCTCTGTCTGGCATTAGGGGGTTTTGATGTTTGTCTGGCATTAATAAAATTGGTCTGCCCTTTGCGCGAGGTGCTTATTGCTCATACTGTGCCCATTATTTTGCTTTCTCATTGCTGTATCAGCCATTTAGGTTTATTGGTTCGAGAAAGAATTCTCAAATGACTGTTCTGTTAATGGGCAATGGGATCAGTTAACCAGACATTTGTGAAACTAAAAGGAAGGATTATTGTACGAGGCTGCTGACTTTGAATAGATTACCGTGACCCAAATTGGTAGCTATGAGCTTCAGTTTAATAACTGTGCTTCACTAAGGTAAGCAAGCAATGCTGCCTGAAAGTTTAACATAACAGGCGCTGGTGTGGTCTGACAGCGTAGAGACTTTTATGCCATTGCTCTGATCACAGGTTTGACCCCAAATGTTCACCTTACCTGTTATTTTGTCTGATGCTTCTAGTGTTCCTTAGATGTACTGCGAGGCAGGGCTACCTTAAAACTGAATACTTTGGGCAAGAAATCTCTCTTGCTGCAAAGTATAGCAATCTGTGTGCTTATTATGGGGCTCTTCCCTTCCCCACCCTGTCTTGCACTTGATCTAGCTCCTTGTTATGTCAAAAAGTCTCAAAGCATTTCACATAACGAGACGTTTCAAAGAGTACGAGCTGTTACCTGGGGTAAGTGCAACAGATATTCTACACCATCTACAATCCACAAACAACACTGAGATAAATGACCAATAATCAAATGCTTTGGTGAATTTGGATGATGAACACATATTGAGCAGGACACCAGGAGACTCACCTGCTCTGCAAAATATTACCTTGGGAGCTTTATTGTCTACCAGAAAAATCAGATGGGACTTCAGTTTAACATTTCACCCAAAGCATTCTGCCTCCCAACAATACAGTGGTCTGTTTTATTCTGCATTATTCTGTGAAGCGTTTTGACACATCTCAAAGACATGATAAGGAGCACTAACAAATGCAAGTATTATTATTGTGATTTTAATATTGCACCAAATGGTCAGCTGGAGAAAATGAAAGAGAAGGTGAAATCAAAACAACAACAACTTGCAGTTTTATAGCACCCTTCACATAGGGCAACGTGTGGGAGTGCTCACACAGAGCGAGGGGGAAAGGCTCGTGATCGTTGACACGTTCAAAGAGATAGTGATGAGTGTGCAGAGTTTGGTGTAGGTGAGGTTGTGGGCGGTGGAGTTTTGGATGAGTTTCAACGTATGGTCCAAGATGAAATATCTGTGTCTATTGCCTCCTTCCTGATTCGATAGCCCTCTGTTAGCTTCCTCTGTATGTTTTTTTTAAAAGTTGCCCTTTATAAATCCTACTTTCCCCCCCCAAAAGACCTTAATGGCTTTATTGCTCAGGTGCTTATCCAGTTCCCTTTTGAATGATTCTATTGATCCAACCTCAATAGCCAATTGTGGTAATGAATTCCTCACACTCACAAACCTGTAATTAAAGAAGTTGCTCTCAACCTTTTCCCTGATTTTTCTGCTAACAGTCCTGCCTCCTTCAACAATGTGATGTAATCCTGTTAAATTATCAGAAAGGCTGTGCTGCAAGAGATGATGATCGTTTAGTTGGTAAATAACTGAGTCTCTGAGTAATACAAACAAATTATCTATAGTTCTGAGTTTACGATAGTTTCTGCCTGAGGTGTAGATTTGGTATATTAAGGGGAATTTAATTTGAAAACAGTGAGTATTTTTTGACCATTCATTCAAATCCAATTAATTTCTACAGTTGCTGCATTTTCCCTCTTCAGGTCTTGGATGATTACAGTGTTATTGGTCGCTCACTGTTCAAGAAAGAAACCAACATGCAGCTGTTTGTCGGGATGAAGGTTAAACTGTCGACTGGAGAAGATGGGGTGATTGAAGGTGGATTTGGGCAGAGCGGAAAGTTTAAAATCCGAATACCAAGTAGGTGCTCATTTGGCTATTTCAGAATTTGTTGTTCATTTTGAAGGAAAAGTAACTATTATTTCTGCAAAAGCTATTATTGAGCCCAGTTAGGCTGATGATCAGGTAATGCCACAATCATTTCTGAAGGGTTTAATTCCTATCTGGTGTTTTACACTGTATATTCTCATACGAGGCTCAACTCAAAACCCTCCTCTTCGACTGCGCCATTCAGCCACCCTCCTGCCCTCCATCCTCCCCCATCCAGACCCCTAGCTCGGGTCCAAATCCCTTACTGTCCAGTGCTTTTGGTTCCCGACCTGAAAATATAATTTTGTATTGTATTGTGCAAGTTCTGCCTGGTGGGTTGGGGTGGTTGGGATTGTGAGGACAGTCTGAAGTCACCTGCTTGCTTTACCTCTCCCGTCGTGTGGAGGAAACACTATATCTCTGCTCGGTGAAACCCCACAAAATTGTGACGAAGATTAGTAACTCAACTTGAGGTGTGAATCTGCATCATTCTATTTGACGTCCTCCCGATGTGAAAGGCGCTGTATAAATGTAATTTTGTTGTTGTTCTTGTATTTGGCTGCTTCCTTAAAGTGGCGAGACAGAAAAATTTGATTGGGGTTTTAATTTTCAAAAAGCATATATCATCAATACCTCGGGGAAATGACAAGTGAGTGACGGAAATAAAATGTAATTTCCACCTAGCTTACTAGGGACATTTACGATTTAAAAATCCTGACTGCATTCCAGTGTATTTGGGTGGTTGCAAATGCTACTTACCTATTTGGAGCACTGTTATTGACACATTGCAGTATTTTGACATGTGGCACGTTGACTTGTCAGTACCAGGCTTTTCACCTCATTTGCAGCAATTAAAGTGAGTTTGGTGTCCTGACTTGATTCGGAACAAGATGATGAAAGTGCGAGTAACATTTCAGGGAAGGCCTGTCAAGCAAGAGGTTAAAGGATCACCTCTGAGGTGAGGGATTATAAAGGATTCAGAGTCGGGCCAGAAGAGAACACGGTTTCAATTTAATTTCAGATTTGTCGGGATTATGTAATGCTCTTACCCTCCTAGGTCAGAGAGAGTGCACTATGCACTGGCTGAAACCTGGCTGAAATGTACAAGAAAAGCTTTTAGGAAATTGCCTATTTTTCATGCTTAAAGAAGCCTTCCCAGTCACTCATATCAACAGCCACCATTTTCCCTCTTTCACCAGGAGGTTAGGACTAAGTAGGATCTGTACGCTAACTGTTCCAAAATTGCTGTGAATATTGGAGTGAATATGACTGATCCCATCAGTTCACGACTGTTTGTGGGACACTGTTGTACGCAATTGGCTGCCACGTTTCGCCCACAATTACATAGCCACAATGTATTCTGTGAAGCGCTTTGAGACGTCTCAACGCCATGATAAGACAGTATATCAAATGTAAGCATTTTTATTAATTCTGTACTCCTGTCCTGCAGTGCTCTATCGGGTGAACCTGAGATTGGATTCAGCTCATGTCTTTTGAGACTGGGATTTGAACTCGCGACCCTCTGGTTGGCTGTCCAGAATGCTAAGCCAGAGAGCCGTCAGAAAATGAGTTTGTTTGCTTTTTCATTTGAAAATTTCATGATAATAAACAGTCCACACTAGATGGGAAATCCCACACTCTTGTGTAACCGTTTGCTCTGTTAATCATATCAGAAGGAGCAATGATATAAACTGGGGCAATCAATGGTCTATTTGGCGGTGTGTATGCCTTTGATTAGTGAGGGCATGACTGCTTGACCTGGGGCAGGACTGCTAGTCCATGATGAGTTTGGCATTCTCCATCTTCAATACGACTTGCTTGACAAAGCATGCTCTACCTGCCCAGGGGACTTCTGACCTTACAAAGTGATGCATGTAACTCTGTTCTAACTTGAAATAACACTGTAGAACCGGTTTCAAGCCCACAGCATTCAAACTTTTTATCAGGTACTGAATTTTTGACAGAGTTTGCAGAATCAGAAAAAACAATCATTAATCTAACTTGATTAGAAGAAATAGATCAGACAACAAGAACAAAAGCTTGCATTTAAGATAGCATCCTTCACGTAGAGTAGCATTTCGGAGTGCTTAGCCGTGGCTCAATGATATAAACTGGGGAGCTTGATGCTGAGAGGGGAGAGGGGGAAGGTGACTGTAGGGACAGTCGAAGAGCAACATCTTCTGGTGTGATCTGAGTAAGCAGGTCGGAGAGGTAGGGAGATGACAGAGCATGAAGTGATATGAAAACAAGGGAACCAGTGGAGCCTGGCAAGGACTGGGGTGATGGGGCTACGGAGTTTGGCTCAGGTGAGGATATGGGTGGCAGAATTTTGATTTAATCCTTTGGAATCCTGGAATCCTTTGCAAAATGAACTAAACAATTTCCATAATTCCATATGGAGTCTTGTAGCTCAGTGGTTAGACACTCGCCTCGCAAGCGAGAGACCTGGGTTCTATTCCAGGCATGGCAAAACATTGGGCAAGTTTCCTTATTCCCCACGCCCCTGTTTACCTAGCAGTAAGTAGGAACACAGTTGTTGGTCGATTGGCGGATCACTTTTCTGGGGATAATCCTTAAAAAAAATTAATAATTTTGTCACTCAATCCACGGCTGATTGTGGGACACTGCTGTGCGCAAATGGCTACCACGTTTCGCACAAATATACAGCCAATTCACTACAATATATTCTGTAAAGGGCTTTGAGACGTCTAGAAGGCGTGCTTTATCAAACCAAGGATTATTATTATTATCAATTAACTTTTTTAGAATTTTTTAGATGTTTGTAAAGTTGCATTTGTGAACATTTTAAAGAAGATTTAGGTTTTGAAATTGACTTTGAATTGACTGCCTAGCAAAAGGAAAGGCAGCAGGAGGCAGTAATGAATGGAGAAAAGCCTTGACTGATGGGGACAGGTTGTGGCAAATGGAAATCGACAAGCATCTAGCCTTGACTTCTGGCATCCATGCTGTTCACAAATAATATGGTCGAGAATGTAACTTGGAACATCATATAATATACCTGTGATACTAAGCTGTATAGTCAGGTGACGGGGGTAAAGAAATTGATGAGATTATTAAAGTAAATGGGCTAAAAAATGGGAGGCAGATATATGGCGGATAAATGTGATGCAGAGAAAACATAAAATATGGGCACATCTATCAGCAAAAATAGGTAAGGATTGAGTTGTTTATTGATTGTTCATTCAACATTTCCAGTTAAAGAGAAGAAACTGCTTTAAGAAGCTATGAGATCATAAGGGATAGAAGAAAAGAGGTGGCAAATAGGATTAGTAATAAAGGGTGACTTAGAAAACCAGTAGCAGTACAGGCATGATGGGCTGAATGGCTTACTTCTGTCCTTAGAACTGCTATGTTTCCAAGTGATTCTGACCTTATATGGATCACCGGTGAGATCATATTTGTAACCTATTATTTTTTGTATAACTTACCTTGAAGAGGACATTTCAAATGCTGGAGAAAGTTCAGAGAAAGAACGAGGATAATTTCCAAATGATGATTCTAAATTATCTAATGGAGAGAAGAGGATTGGAAGAGAATATGATCCAAGCCATTAACATAATAAGAGGGTTAGATAATATTAGATGTATGCTACCAATTTAACTCTGGCTGCGTACACAGATATAGAGTTAGTGAGGACAGAATTTACTAGCTTGAAGCAAGATGAGATTGATTTGAAAAAAAAAATTCACTTCTCATCCACAACAAGCAATGGATTCTCTATATGGAACTGAGTCCAAGTAAAAATAGTTGATACTGCATCAATTAACTCCTTCAAAAAAGAGCTGGAGCATGAAAACATCTGGTTAAGAATGAGATTAAAGGCTGTGGAGATGAGTATGATTCATATACTCTTTGCTTCTATATCTCAGGAAACATTTTCTGGGGAAATGAAAGCAAACAGTCTGGGCCTTCCATTGGATATGTTGAAGGATGGCAAGATGTTCTCGTGTCTCACAGAATATCCTTTTAGTACAGGGAAACCTTTGAGAGATGCAATAAATGGGGTGAAGTCTAGTGTAATAATAATAATAATCCTTGATAGAGCACATTTCAAACATCTCACAGTGCCTCACAGAATTTACTGTAAAGTGTACTGACTGTTTTTAGGCAAATGTGGTAGTCAATACATGCACAGCAATGTCCCACAAACAGTCGTGAAGGGAATGACTATTTTTTTTCTGGAGAATTGTTGGCCAGGGCACTGGAAGAAACTCCCTTCTCTTTTCGACCAGTGCCATGAATTTTTTAATGTCCACTCATGGGATTGAAAGATTCTGCTAAAAAATAAAACTGGTGGAGCAGGCTCGATGGTCTGAATGACCTCCTGTTCCTGTCCCATAGTTTACAAAAAAAAAGTGTGCCACCATAAAGTGGTAATGCTTCCCTTTTAAAAATATAAATCAATAAAAACCATTGTTTCTTTACTTTGTATGGTTCAGCACTTCCAAAAGCGTACTCCTACATCACAGAGTGAAGCCCATGGTACAAACTCAAGACATGGTATATCTGGGAGTGTCAGAATGAGTTGCTATTGTGTAAAAATGTGCAGACATGTATTCTAATTAAAGAGTTTTTTGCTAGAGTTTATGTAACTAATATCATAGCAGCCGTTCTGAATGTCAAGTACAGTTCACATTCCTGCTTGAGGTTAGTGGGGTCTTTGCCTCACTTTGTGTGGTTTTTTTTGTGTGTGTGTGTTTTTTTTTCTTGCTTTTTTTTTAAATGTCACCACACAAATGAAATCCACCCCACGTGCATTTTTGTACAGGATAATGCAAAATGCAAAACTGAACTCGCTCTTCAAAGAATTTTCTTTTCAACTTTTGTGGTTTAAGTGCCACAGGATGTTACATTACTGGAAGCAATCCTAATTAAAACCATTTTGAACCAGCGATTTTACAAGAAAATACTGATTAATATATCTCCAATCTTTTTATAGTGTTGTATGAAACCAGACATGAAAGATGCAA